ACACAAACTTGACTCATCCTAACTCTGGCTGGACACATTGCTCTAATGCATAAAAATCTCACAGGTGCTCAAGGGAAATTTCCTCCTCCTTTAAATGATCAATCAAGGTACCCTAAATTGACAGACTTTCTTTTGCTTTGACAGACATGTTTCAGTTAACGATAAAATATGCTATTAACAGAAACAGGATTGGTTCTCAGTGACATATTCTTAATTCAGAAAAATGAAAAGTAGGATGGTAGGAGTAATGATACATTTATTTAATTAAATAATTCTGCCTTTAGGCAGACTCGGACCACTACTGTTAAAGAACCCACTGCCTTTGAAAGAATCCTATGAGAATGAAGGAAAAACAATGGGAAATACTGAACAGAAAAAGCAAGCACGACATTGTGCGCAAAGATGGGCACTGTGGATTCAAATCCACATTCTGTCACTTACACTGGTGTGTCCTTGGGCAAGTTATTAATCTCTGTTCTTCACCTTACATCATCCATAAAATGGGGTATTACTTCAAATGGTTGTTGTGAGGATTAAATGAGTTAATATATCTCAAATGCTTAGAATGGTACTTGACATATTAATATATTAAATGCTAAATAAGTGTTAGCTATTATCACTAAACTATAAAAACATGTTTTGTGTATATTTAATTAAAAACAATCATTCAGTTATTCTTAATACCCATCCCTAGAGGAAGTCATTAGTAAAAAAGAACCCTCCACCAACCCGACTAGCACACTCAGTCATGCTAATGCTTGTAAAAACAAATAGAAGATTTTCTAGGATTATCAAATTCTTCAAGGTATACTGGATAAAACTCACTGATAAAAATTCTATACGATTGCTTTCAGAGTCAATGTCAGATGTACAATAAAGCATTTTACAATCTATTTTATCATAAAATACTTATAGTCAATGCTTACTTTATTATATTTTATAACATATTTTTACTTTCTACATCCTTTTAACAAAAAAATATTTACCAGCAAGTGAACCTATTAGTACTTACTGGCATATACTCTGACATATTTTGAGGACTATTTTTGCCAATTAGGTTATGCGGCAATATCATCCATAAAATAAATGACCTATGTCACAGCTTGATGTTTTTGATAAAAACACACTTAAAGGGTATGGTAAGATATTATACTGACAAGGTATAGGTCTGCAGCGGGTCTTGGCACCCCTCGTGGAGAGTCTGTAGGTCTTTAGGTAAGACACCTACCCTCTCTAAACTTCAATTTCTTCACTTATAACAGAAAGGTGAGATATGATAAGCCTGTACCACATGATGAGCAAGTGAGATAATACAAGTTAAAGGTATCTGCAAATTGTAAACTGCTACATGAAAGTAGTATTAACGTTAGCAACTATCTACAACCTGGAAAATAAAATCTAACAACAACAATTTCTGACATGTAACTCAGAAGGTTAAAAAGATCAAAAACAAAACAAAGCAAAACAGAACAATATTGCTTTCACAGAACTCTTCCAATACCATTCTAATCTACTTCATGTGAACAAGGTTTGTCAATCATATGTATGAAAACGGAAACTAGGAACGAAACTGATCCAAACTCCATCATATTCTAACAACGAATCATATGCAACCCAGACATAAAGCCATGGTGGGGAGGAGAGAGAGCCCATTCATTTCACTGAAAGACATATTTCTGATAAAAATGTACTTCTCATATAAATAATACCAAAATTCATGACATTTATATTGTTTTAACCAACTTTATACTAATAATAAAAATTGTAAAGATAGCTTAATCCAAAAGAAAAAATGGTAACATTTAGATATTTATAGTCATAAAAAATAAAACACATTTTAAAATTTCAATATTCTTGTGGCGGAAAAGCACAGCATGATAGAAGAGTTTCTAGCTTTAGAATATATTACATTGTTACATTTTGGGAGGAGATATGACTTCAGAGAGAAAAATGAAATATGTAAACTTTCCAAATGTTAAAGAAGGGCTTATTTGCGTATTTTGTAAAAGGATGATGGTAGATATTATTCTAGGAAATACATTTAAAAGAATAATGTAACAACTTTGTTTTAAAAGTCAACATATATGTCAAAAATGACATAACTACAACTATTAATATTTAAATTTTTGATGAAAAATTTCAGGTGTCAGTCTAAAAAAAAAGTTCAAGTAGTTATACAGTTTTTTCAAAAATTTTTAGGGGATACTCATAATAAAAATAAAAATTTGAAGTCTCCCCTCTAAAAACCAATTAAAAAATGCTTAGTTAGGAGAGCATCTAAGCAACAGTGTCTTTGCAGCTAGGAGGAAAAAGGCTACTCTCTTTTAAGTATGAATATCTTAGTAGTCCTATCAGGCCCGCTGTGTATCTGTGGGTATGGCGGACTGCGCAACTACAAGAGACTCCAGCCACGCAAACTACAACGGGAACAA